TTTATTAATTTTTATTTCAGTTTTAGTTCTTTAAGTGTTCTTTATCTCAATGATAAAAACACAACAAAATTAGTACTAAAACAAAAAATTTTTTTTAATTAAAATGGAAAATATGAATAAAAACTACAATATTATTGCTGCAGTGCAGTGTTAGTTTAATATGATTTTAATACTTTAATAGTACACTCTAAAAAATGCTGGGTTATTTCAACCCAACTTTGGGTCAAATTTGGACTAACCCAACTTTTGGGTTAAAAATGTAATGTAAAAATTTAACCCAACGGTTGGGTTAGTCCATATTTGACCCAAAGTTGGGTTTAAACAACCCATCATTTTTTAGAGTGGCTTTTGAAGAGCTGTACCTTTGCATATGCCAGTCCTTTACGTAAAGACATCCTTTGGGTGCAGAATGCCCATTCTGAATGTACTCTCTCCAGTACTGCATAAACTCCTTGAAAGGCATGATCTGCTTCGGGTTGGAGTTGTATTCTTTTGCACTGCAGTTTGCAACAGCCTTCTCATATGCATAGTAAAATGAGGCTATTTATGTATATAACATATTGAGTATACATTTAGATTTAGTTTTTTTTTTTATTGCTATTCATCAATACCCAACAAAATGATCTTACAATTTCTACTTTAGTTAATTTTTAATCCAGCAATGCAAGATACATGCTTATAAGGGACATTATAAATGGAGGAGCTGAAAGGAACATGTTACAGTTCTGTAATGTGCAGTTATCACATTTATTTCTTCAATCTAGATTTTAGAGCTGGAGCAGGACTGATAATTTCTAACTTATAATGCATGACACATTGATGCAAGTATAATGAAATATAATTCTTTGCTCACCAAATTCATGCAGAAGTCTTTGGAAGTTAGGTTTTCCATCAGCCGTGACCCAGTTTTTTCTGCAATTCCAGTCTTCTGTGAATTTTTTGGAAAACATGCAGGGTTGATTCGGGATTAAGTATTTCTTGAATAATTTGGGGTAGGGTATTTCTCTCTCTATGTACTCAATGAAATGAGAGGAGCAGTGCTGAGAGGGGCATTTTGACCAAACTGCAGCAGTTATGAAAGGTTTCCCTATCCATGGCATGTCAGAATGGAGCACAGGCTTGTTTATTATTCACTAACATGAAGTTTCCGCACGTTATTCCATGCTTGATATGTCAAAATATTAAAAACAAAACCTTAATTAAAACTTAATATTGTTGACTTAATAGTAACATATAGTCAACAGCTACAACACATTTTAACAGCCTCATTATTCTCTTATGATGACAGGTTTGCGTAGTTATTTTAAGGCTGTAGCAGCGCAACTAATGTATCGACGGTTCAACGTCACGCTTACGTGTTATTCAAATATCGATATGAGGCGATTATCTTTTTTATATGTCTATAAATCGAAAATAATAGTGTTTTTTGCACCGGGTTTGGAACATGTCTACGTAACCCAGTTGCCCACCGGAAAAGAAACGTGTGCACACCAGCTCAATGATTTGCTCATCTTCGTGCGGAAAGAATGAGCTGTCTAACACAATAAAGCAAGTTAATTAAATCTCAATAAATCGCCTGTAAATAAATAAAAGTCGGTGTCCTTAACTAGACATATATAATGTGCCACCGCCACATTAGCGGAATTTATTAATTTTTATTTCAGTTTTAGTTCTTTAAGTGTTCTTTATCTCAATGATAAAAACACAACAAAATTAGTACTAAAACAAAAAAATTTTTTTAATTAAAATGGAAAATATGAATAAAAACTACAATATTATTGCTGCAGTGCAGTGTTAGTTTAATATGATTTTAATACTTTAATAGTACACTCTAAAAAATGCTGGGTTATTTCAACCCAACTTTGGGTCAAATTTGGACTAACCCAACTTTTGGGTTAAAAATTTAATGTAAAATTTTAACCCAACGGTTGGGTTAGTCCATATTTGACCCAAAGTTGGGTTGAAACAACCCAGCATTTTTTAGAGTGTATGTATTAACGTTTCAAATTAGGTTTTATTTTTGCATTTTCAGTTTTCACATTAAGTAATTAATTCATTTTTATTTCAGTTTTAGACATTTTAGTAATTTAAACTTAAATCAAGGCAACATTTCCAATATTTAATTTTTCTTTATTTAAGAATCTAATATTTATATTTTATTTCAGCTCTTTTTCAATGAATGAAAATGGTTTTTAATAGTTTTGTTGACCTGCAGCTCTTTCTCTTCAGTCTGTTCTGTGTTCTTCAGTTAAGCAGGTAAACTGGTAAGCTGTCCTGCTGCATGTGCTCTGATGCTGGTGAAATAAAGACTTTAGAGTAACAGAAGTGTTATGTTAACCTGCTATAGATGATGCATATAGTATCCTAAGTGCTCTTTTCCATTCAGTAGTGAAATGTGGTCTACTGTATATATACTTGACATGTATGCACTGAGTTCGGTCTGAATTGAGTATCAAATTATTACCTACTTGTCCAGCAGACAGAGATCTTAATATTAAGATTTCTGTGATGAAGTGTGTCCGTTATTTTTCTGCAGTTTTTAACATACAATCTGGTTTGAAAGTGTTCATGGAGACTTTTAAAGAGACAGTTCACCCAAAAATGAAGATTTGTCATCATTTATTCACACTCGTGTCATTTCAAACCCTTATGCCGTTATTGTTTCAGTGAAATTATAAACCTCCCATCTGCTCCCAAATCTCATTTGCAATCACATTTGTTGATGCATTGTGTCAAGTTTGATGTCAACCCGGCACTGAGCGTCATGTGTGCTGGAACTGAGCTTGATGCATCAATGCAACATTTTTTAATCTGAAAGGACAAGATTATCAACAACGGTCTGTTTCTCACACAAAATAACTTTGAATATAATGCACGAGTCACACGGTCTACTGCTGTTTTATGTCCTTTCTGTGTGGATTCTTTCAAAACTTTGGGAAAAATAGCAACATCCAGGTTTACATGTTTATACTTAATGCAATTATAATATAAAATATTTATATATTTTATTATATATAAAAAAATTATATAAAATAAAAGTTATTTTATACTTAATAAAATAAAAGTTATTTTATAATTAATGAAATTATATATGTGTGTTTGTGCATTTAAAATATTTATTTTACAAGAGTAATATATATATATATATATATATATATGCTATTATTATCAAATATTTATATTTTATTTTAAAGGACAACTGTAATGTACAACAGTAATATATATTTATATCTTCATTTTTATACTTGGAGTTGAATCAACAATAATAATAATGGAATGCAATTAACAGGTAAAATATTTAATCTTTAAAAATATTTATTTAAAAAAATAACTTATTTAAAAATTCAAAACATTCAAAATAAAAAAAACACTTGAAAAAAATTTAAATATTTTATCTGTTTATCTGGTAACATATGAAATTGAAAATGATAACTTCAATTCTTAGGGGAACTGAGAATTATTTTACATCTAAGGGATTCGGCTGACAGAAAAGTTGGGGAGTCTTTTTTGTTTGTGTGTTTTGTATTTGTATGTGTGCACTGACTGCTGTGCTGCGTTTCCTTTGAATGCTTGACTCTGATGCATGCGTGCAACTGTTCGGCCGCAGCGCTGACATGCATTTGTGAACAGTTTGCCCTTGTCGAAGCATTGCAATAAATGCCTCTCTATGATTAAAACATCAGATGCACTAATGCAGTGTCTGCATGTGTAACAGCAGTGCATGTGTGTTGCTCACTCAGGGAGGAACGGTGATCGGCAGCGCGCGCTGTAAGGCCTTCACCACACGAGAGGGCCGTTTAGCTGCTGCCTTTAACCTGGTCAAGCGTGGCATCTCCAACCTGTGTGTGTGTGGAGGAGACGGCAGCCTCACCGGGGCCAACATCTTCCGCTCCGAGTGGAGCGGACTCCTCGATGAGCTGCTGAAGAAAGGTACCAAATCACATTAGTAGGGCCCAATGAAATCTGTTTTATTTCTTCCCAAATTCTGTGTTTTCTATTTTTATTTGTTCCATTTTAATTACATTTTAATAATCGAAAATAATGTCTAAGAATTGAATTTATTAAACATTAACAGTTTAGTAAGTTATTAATATTGTAATATTGTAATAATAATGCTCATTGGAAAAAAAGTTTTTTGTTTTTTTTTCTTTTTTGTTTTAATCCATTTTTTTCCCCAAAATTTTTTTTGACATAATTTCCATGAAAATTAAGCACATTTTACCCTCTTCTTCTCAATATCATTAGGGATATGGTGATATATATGCCAGACAGGGTTATTATATTTAACTACAACCATAAAGAAATACTTGCTTCGTTACTTGAAATAAAATAAACATTAACTGAAATAATAATATATATATATATATATAAAAACCTTTTTTATTTCACCTAGTTCCCAAGGCAACATTTCTCAATTTCATTTAGTTTAACTTGATATAACTAACTAAATAAAAATGAATAAAAACTATATATAAATATTTTCACATTCTATTAGGAGCCTATGAAAGCTGTTTTATTTCTTCCGAAATTCTGTTTTATTTTTCCTCAAATTCCATGTTTTCCATTTGAATTAAATTTTAATAATCAAAAAGGATGTGTAAGCAATTGAATGAATAAAACATTAACAATTTAATAATTATTAAAAGTTTAACAATAATAGTGCTCTTTAAAAAAAAAAGTGTAAAAAATTCTGTGATAATACAGATTTATTATCAGAAATGGTGGCAAGCAAATGAATGCATGAAACTAATTAATCTTTTAAAATGCAATCAAATGTAGTTTATTGCAAACAAACTGCTGGACAATAGAGATTTGCTGTTTACATTAAAACGTGGATGGAAAAATAGTGCCAAAAAATTAACTAATTGGATTGGATTCTGCAATTCCATCCATGTTTTCTGCATCACAATACCATAACATGCTCTGATGTTGTGCAGAATGATTCATGTGGAAAAAACAATGAGCTTTACTCTTTACTTCATAGTTTGCCATCAGATGTATTTTAAAGGTGCATCACTAAACTGCATTGCAAAAATGAATGACTGAATTGAAACTTTAGAGAAGTTTACTTCCAGAGCTGCCTCAAGCTCATGAATGACGACTCCAGCAGGAAAGCCTCTTCAGGATAAGAATCTCATAAATCTTTATGAAGGCCGTTATCAAAGTCCGTTTAGGGCAAGCCTGTTACTCTGCAACAGTGTTCAGGAAACCAGTTTGAAACTGTAGTTTCTCAAGATACAAGCTACTCATCGCTTAAAGAAGTTCAGCTACAGTCAACTAGTCAGCTATACCACAAAAAGTATGTAACTTCATTTAAGTTGTTCCACTGAAGGAGCCACATCATTTTAAATATGTAATAAGTA